GGAATGGAACAGGGAAACATGCTTGGCACATGGAATCCAAACCGTTATCTTACGAGGTTGTAAAAAGAGGTGCCTCATCCACATTTATTTTGTTTTTTCTTTTTTCTAAATTGAGGAAGGTACGAGAGCAGAAACGCCACCTGCCACAAGCACATCGTTTACGTCAATGTTTAAACCTGACGGAAACAAAAAATAATAAACTGCCAGAATTCCGCGTGGTTTTGCTCAAAAACGTTCGGTCTGTTCATCTGTGCGTGCTCTGTTTGTTCGGTTCGTTCGGAGGAAATGGTCAAGTCAGTACACTCGATGTTGCCTATCCTAGTGAGCTCTCGTACGGCCGACTCACTGTTCTCACAACGTTATTTGGCCATTATCTCTCAGTGCACGTTTTATCCGTACGAAAATAGTTTTTACGGTACAGTTCGGGACAGTAAGCTCTTGGAAATAATTTATATTTGAAACAAAAAAAAAGGCATCTTCTAGAAAGTTCTTTTTTTAGGCGACTGTAGATGAATTTTACACTACGAAGCTACTATTATAATAAAAACCGAATATTACGTCTGCCATGTTGAGATGGACTTTTAACTCAGTGACAATAGAATGCTTTCAAACCTGGAAATTATTTGTAAGAAAAAGAATGCATTAATACTGATTTTACTTACGGTGACGGCCCATTAGAATTATTTCAGAGACTACTTCGATTTGAATTTTGAAAATTTGGGATACCGGGTTTTCGGGCATGCCCTTCTCAACTAAAATAATGGCGTCCACGTACCGCTTCCGGTTATACCGGAAGTCGCCATCAACTTGATTATTTTAAATGAAACACCCTATATATTATTGCAACTTTGGATTCTACGTGTAATTTTCGCTGGACTTTTATGAAGTTTCCCTATTCCTAAAATTTCGAGATATTTAATTTTTTTCAAAAAAATGGAGAGAAACAGTGACTATCTTCAAACCATGTGTATTTTATAGTAAGAAAGATAACAATATTTATAGGGGGGATAGATAGACACCTAAGCTTCCCATTCATACTTTCAAAGTGGCTTAATTACATACAGGGTGCTAGAAATTTAATGCCGAGTTTAGTTAACTTCAAACCTTCATAATTCGGTTTTTTTTAATGGAACACCCTGTATGTTTTTCTATATTACACAATTTTATTCTCTTTCGAACGGTATCAGGGTTCCCTATACCTATCTCTTCTAGTTTTTAAGTTATTTACTATTTTTTGTGTAATCACCTAAAATCATGTAATTTCCTGCGAGGATAGCTGTGAAATTTTTAGCAAAACTTCAAAACAAACAACTAATAATAATGCACTAAGATAAAAAAAATGACTTAAATAAAGTCATAAGTGTTCAATATGATCACCATTAACAGCTAAGCACTTGTGGATTCTAGAGATAACACCATCAATCACCGCTTTTGCTATTTCAGTTGCAGGCAATTCATGGAACGCTCTTCGTATTCGGGCAATCAAATCCTCTTTTAAAGCAACGGGTGTAGAATAAACCTTTTGATTTATTACTCCCCAAACATAAAAAACGAATGGAGTGAGGTCGGGAGACCTCACTGGCCAATTCCATGGTCCTAGGCTTTTCATCTATCTATCAGATGGAAACATGGAAACATTTTAGTCAGCTGTTGATCGATTTGATTGTGACAGTGAGGTGGAGCCCCGTCTAATTGATACCAACACTTCCTTAGTTGGTCTAAAGGTATATCATCTAGAAAATCTGCCACAACCGTTTGCAAAATATTGAAATATCTGTCGGCATTTAAATTTTCTTCGTAGATATGGTAAGAAATTTGGTTATCTTTAATTAGACAAAAATAAATAATAATAAATTTATTTTGAAAGTTTCTTTCCCGGATAACATAAGGATTTTCAGATGACCACAAAGTATTATGTCTATTAAAAATACCTTCTCTCGTAGATTTTGACTCGTCTGTCCATATAATATGTTGCAAAAACTGTGGATCTTCTTGGTATCGCACTAATATCATTTCACAAAATTGTACACATTGCACGGCGTCACCCGGATGAAGAGCAGACTGATTTTTGTAAAAATCTGCACAACTTCGACCATACTCTAGTTGATTTGCTAAAATTCTTCTTAACTTTTTTCTGCTCATTGGTGGTAAATTTGGATACGTCTCATTAAAACCTGTACATGTTCTGCTTATAAACCCATCGCAACGTCCGTGAATGAATATTAAATTTAAAATATCAGCATTTGAATATGTATTGTTTTCCATTTCTTATAAACACTAAATTAAACTGTCACTACAAGAAACTAACAACAAATTGACAGTTTAGTTGTTTCTTTTGAAGTTTTGCTAAAAATTCCACATCTATCCTCACAAGAAATTACATGATTTTTTTAGGTGATTACACAAAAAATAGTAGATAACCTAAAAACTAGAAGAGGTAGCTATAGCTATAGGGAACCCTAATACCATTCGAAAGAGAATAACATTGTGTATCAAAATATAGCAAATCATACAGGGTGCTCCATTTATAAAAACGACTAATTTGACTTATTTCTTTGAAGTTAACTAAACTCGGCATTAAATTTCTAGCATCCTGTATGCAATTAAACCACTTTGAAAGTATGGTACGTGGACGCCATTATTTTAGTTGAGAAGGGCATGCCCGAAAACCCGGTATCCCAAATTTTCAAAATTCAAATCGAAGTGATCTCTGAAATAATTCTAATGGGCCGTCACCGTAAGACACCCTGTATAATGACATATTTATATCTGAAAAAATCATAACCTGCCAATACGATATCTTGTATATGTCAGTCAGTAAAAGCGGAATAACTTTTCATTGATAAGTTTAGATTTTTATTGTGCTATTATTATTTATCGTAAATTTATTACGAAAGTACTAAAAATCATGCAAAAATAATAAAATTTAAGTACTTAACATAATATTTCCATGTTGTATCTCTACTGTAAGTATTGATATAATTACTAGGTTTTCGCCAATATACCTTAGTTTTGTGGCAATTTTGTCCGAAAAAAACGTCGAGGATAGACGTGAAACCTGTAATCGCTAGCACTTCCGAGAATAACAATGAAACTAGAGACACCTGTTTTCAGAATGTTTGCCTTTCTGTATTGTAGCAAGTCTAAATGTCTAGAACGGTACAACTGCAGTCACAGTTCGGACATTTTACGCAGACGAAGTCGTAAGTACTTCTGTAATATAATTCTTCTTTTTGTTCAGTTTACCAAATTCCTCTACTAATCCTTTCATTTCCCTTGCATTTAATCAGATCAAATAATGCCAATAAAACATTGTGCAGAATAAATCCCCTTTTCTATATACGTAACAATGTGCTGATTTTTTCAAGTTTTGATTAATTAAATAAAATCAGTTGCGCAAGAACTATCTCAATTGTCCATCACCAGTTCCAACAAAGTGGAACTTTTGTTAAATGTACTGATGATATTGGAAGACCTAAATCAGTCCAAAAACATCTCAATTGGAGGATGTTACACCTAAGAAGTATATGACCATCCGGAAGCAACGAATCGAAAACTTAATTATATTCATAGAACAATTTTTGTTTTTATAAATATTATCAATTTTATCCATAATTTTATCAGTTATTTGTCATTGGGAACTTTACAAGAGAACTGAAGATCCTTTATATATAAATCACATTATTTTTACAGACGAAGACTATTTCTGCTGTAACTTCGTATCTCCAACAAAATTTTCATAACAACCATCAATGCGTATTGATGAAAATCTTCATGCGACAGGAGAAATTAATTAGCAACATCGGTTTACTTAAATGTTTGGAGATTTTCGGGTTTTAATGAAACTATAAGGATTTGCCTTAACATTTCACTTACATCATGACGATATGAAAATAATATTTAACACTTACGTACGTACGTATATTTTTTCTTGGTATTTTACGAATACTTACTAAACGAATTTAGTTAATACATCATTTTTTAATTCAATAATTAACTTAACATTGTGAGTAAAAATCTTCTGATAATAGGAACACATATTTTTTTATGATTCTTAGATGATATTAAAAATATAATTTGATGAATTGCCTTTACAAGACTGTCTCGGCCTCCAAAGTGACTAAAGTGTGATATTGAAATACAAACATTTCTTAAAATTCAATAACATTCCACAAATTCTTCTCTTATTTTCTCATTTAGCTCTCATCTTTATACTAATGTTTTTAGTATAGAAACAAAGATATCAATGAAAATTTTATGCCAGTGTTTGACCCCGTAGTATGGACTGTTTTCTGAGAGATAGTGTTTTCCATTACATGAAAAATATTATAATTATTTTACTTTTATAGATTTATGTAGATAATTAATAATAATTATTTATTTATCTAAATATATCTGCTAAAAAGTTAATCACACTTTGACTAAAATCACTCATATATTAAACTAATCCTATTTTTCCAATCACCTAGTATAGTTAGTACACTTGACACTGTAAATGTAACAGAACGATAAAAGATAAATGAATTCGATATCCACTACAGGAACAGGTAAAAAATCAGGGTAAAGATAACACAGTCACACAAAAAAAAAATTGTCTGTACTTTTCAAGCGACATTGTTATTCGTAGTATTTTCGTATCCGTAGTACAAATTCTAAATAAATACAGAATTTCAGTTTTGCCAAGGTACTTTCTAAAAGAAATGAATTGTAACATTTGTACTAGAGACCCCTGTAGAGGATACCAAGTTTGATATATCCTTTATATTAAATGAATTTTATCTTGATTAAGATAAAATATAACACGAAAAATTTACATTTCAATAAATCAACTCCCAGTTAACACCTACAGTTTTCTTTTCATTTTATGTACCAATTAAAGTTATTCAGGTCCATGTTCTTAATACTTTTTGTTCGGAGTACACCCTCATTAATTTAACGAACATGAAGAAACTTAAAGTAACTTTTTTTATTCCGAGCAAGAATAAAAAACATGTTCTTACCTAGAACTCGGATGATGGCTTTCATCATCGGGCTCTTCTTTAAGAAAGGAGGGTTGCAAGCTGAATCGCCTGCGGAACTGATGTCTGCCCTTCATCAAACCTCTCTGCTTAGACGCCAGACTTCTCTGTAACAGAATACATTAGTCAGTGCAGATCTTTCAGAACATCTCCGTTTAATGGGTGATTGTAACTTCTCTTGACATTTTAAATGGAGTATTATGTAATGTAAGACACATTTGGGATAGGATGTACCGTCGTGACAATAAGTTTGTAATTAAACCTGAATTTTAGTCTCTCGGGAAACGAGGTCTTAAAGTAAACTAATCTGTCTTATTAGTGTGCCACGAGTTTCTCATTTTCTTGGTACAGCAGAAAACGTTTCTGAATATGTAAAATTAAGCAACTCTTCGTACAGCGTATTCCAATCCACTTATATAAGTCTAAAAGCGCCATCTACTACTACAACAATTGAAAGAGTTATCGGTAAGAGGTTTGTAGATTTTTTCCCTTGATAAATTACTTGTATTAAGGCGGGTATCCACTTATGGCAATGCTCCGTAACGTAACAACGAACATGTTACGGCCTGTTGCAAAAGGTGACACGGTTCGCTGCGAAAGTATGTGTGGTTTTGGTCGTATCATTCATTCCGTAACGTAACAAAATAAGGTTACGAGACGACACAGGAACATAAACTCGCAGTATGAACCTGACTGCAATAATGAATTCGTCACTGCAATTGCAGTTAGCAGCAGCGTCATATATTTTATTCATCATACAATTTTGAAGAATAAGAAACGGAAATCTTCGGAAATCTTTTCTTTACTTCACTTCATGGCACAAACACAGAAAAACACACTCTTCCTAGTCACTGCAGAAAACAGACTGACTCCAGACCATATACAAAAGACTGACGAAACAAAAAATAAGACGAAATCACATGTGAACAGGTAACGTTACGGCCAAAACGGTAACCCCGTCTCAACATGTGGCAGAAAGTACTGTTGCATCCCTTTGATGCGACGACTAAAAACCGACAACTGATGGTTCGTCCTGAATTAGTTACGCGTGTCAAATTTGTTACACATGCAACAATTTACCGTCTCCACTAGCTGTAACGTAACATGTTCGGTGTTACGTTACGGGGCATTTGACACAAATGGATACCCGCCTTTACAGTT